GAACACGTTTATGCATAATCCAATCACTATCTATCCAATGACAAGTAACACCCATATAAGACAAATTATGATAAGTTTCACCCCAAATATCAGAACAAATAGCAACACGAGAATTAAAATTGAGAAAAAAATTTGCCAAATTAATTTTTTCCATTTTATACTGGCGAATAATTTCTCGTTTAATTGTTTTTCTTGAAAAGCCTCGTGTTTGAGGGTTTAATGCCTGTTGACAATAATCAATAAAACTAAGTTTTTCAGAAAACATGTATGGCAAATTTTCTTCACAAATCATTTCGGCCATTTTTTGCTTATTTTGCTCGTCGCTATAAGAAAAAAGGCCGCCCTTACCTCTGTTAGCAAACCGAGAAATTTGGGTTTGGACTTCTTGTCGTCCCTTCTTTTTTGCCTCGTATTTGGCGTACTCCACGGGATGCCTCGACCTTAGGTGTTTTTCCGGACCGTCATAACCCCCGGAAACTCCCATTTTTATGACGGTCCCGCAATGTTTACAAGTTCCATAAACTATGCCATCTTTTGTGTCTTTGTCAAAATGATAAACAAATAAATCTGATTTATATTTTTTTACCTTTGTCCGGACCTCGAGAGGTCTCGGGCTCACCTGCCTCCACGTCGACGTCGTTGCTTTGCGGTGTTGGCTCATCGTCCCCGTCAAGATTATCCAGTCCTGCTTCATCAACATCCTCGAATAGACTATCAAGAGTGGGGAGATTCGCGTCCCCTCTACCAGAATAAATCTGGTTGAATTCTTCATCCGTCATAGCGTCCCCGATTAAATGATCTGGGACAGTAGGAAACGAAGAGACGGAGTGTCTTCCTCGAGAACCGCGTCCGCGTGAGGTCGAACCGTCGGAGGTGGCTTTAGCTTTGCCTTTACTCAATCTTCGGTTCACGTCGCCCATATCTAGGACCTTCTATCGGACTCCCTCGACATTTTAATATATATTTTTTTGATATTAAAATAATATATTACTTTTGGAAAAATTAAAAATGTAGAAATTAATAAGAGAGAAAATAATTTGTATATTGAATTGTTTTACAAATTACAAGGGGTTTCTTCTTTATTTATAGGAGAGGAAAAAGACCAAAACACAAAAGAAATTCTACTCCTACATGGAAACAAATCACTAAATATGAACTAGGAAACAAATCAAGAGCAATTCCACTTAGAATGGGATTTGCTTTCCTTCTTGTCTTGTGGTCCAAGGAACACGGCCCAACACCCCCCCTCAAGCTGGAGCATGCGGATTCTGGACGCCCAGCTTGGACAGCAAATGAGAAAACGGAGCGGAAGCCAAAGCCTTTGTGAAGAGATCTGCCGGTTGTTCATTGGTGGAGATGTGGCGAGTACACAAAACACCTCGTTGGATTTCGTCACGCACAAAGTGGCAATCAATTTCAATGTGTTTCATACGCTCATGGAAGACAGGATTAGCTGCAATATGCAGGGCTGCCCAACCCAATCAGAGTCACAGAAAGCTTTAAGGGTGAGATCACTCTGTACTGGAAGAAACAATCCTTGCCCGGGACAGGCCTTGATGTACCGTAGAACCTGGGTCGCCCCGTCCCAGTGTTCCTGCCGCGGCTCCCCCATGAATTGAGACAACACATGAACCGCATATGCCAAGTCAGGACGACTGATCGTGAGATAGATGAGGCGCCCTACAAGTCTGTGATAACGCTCTGGATTAGTGAGAAGTGGGCCACTTGCTAGAGCCAGTCGTTGGTTCTGAGGAAGAGGAGTGGAAGCCGGTCGAGCACCCAGAAATCCAGTTTCACAAAGTATATCAAGAGCATATTTGCGCTGGCAGATGAAAATCCCTTTTGAATTTCGGGCAACCTCTACGCCCAAAAAATATTTTAAAAGACCAAGATCTTTCATATGAAAGCAATCAGAGAGATACCGTTTAAATTTGCCAATGAATTCTTCATTATTTCCTGCTATCACGAGATCATCCACATATACCAGCACACGAAGCTCGATGGAGCCGCGCAGAAGAGTAAACAGAGAGTAATCAGCCTTGG